TAGGTTTAAACAAGAATTTAGAGCAGTTTCTCAACCCTAGCTACATGTTAGAACCACTTGGAGGGACTTCTCAAAATCCCTGGAGATTTCTATGTAATTGACCTGGGGTACTATCTGAACAATGATTTTGTGTTGGTTGTTTGTATTTTCTTTTGTTTTTGGAAACAGCCTGGAACTTACGGAGTTTGAATCTGTATGATTTTAAAAAGCCTTTTTCCCCCTGAGTCATTTGAGAATTAACTGCTGATCCAGTGCTCTGTCACCTGGGTAATATAGTATATTTCTAACAAAAAGAACATTCTGGTGTAGAACCACAATATAACCGTCATAGGAAAAAAATTAATACACTGATACATTACCACCACTTACTCTTGATCTCCATTCAGGGTGTGACATTTGCCACACATTACATTTGGTTGTTAGGTCTTTTTGGTCTCCTTTCATTTGGAACAGTTCCTCAATCTTTCCTTGACCGTCATGGCCTTAAAACTTTTGAAGATTGCAGGCCAGTATATTTTGTAGAATGCCTCTGAATGTGGAGTTGTCTGACGGTTCCTTTGATGGTATTCGGGTTAAAAACACATTTAAAAGGAGTATCACAGAATCAAATCGATGCTGTGTTCTTTTTACAGCATCCTGTTGTGTAACTCCCAGTTTGAATTTGTCCCGTAGCTGATGATGTTCACGTGGATTACTTGATTAAGGTGGTATCTTGACAGGCTTCTCCTTGACTTAATTACTCTTCTCAACCCTTTATCACAAGTATTTTATGGGGAGGTGCTTTGAAACTATGTGACTATTCCATTCTTCATTTCAATGTATTTGTTTGCTTATTTCTTTCTGTATGAACTTGTGTTTTCCTATTTGATACAATGGCTTATAGTCTCTTACTATAATTACTTATTTTGATGCTGATGTTGTTCCAGATTTAGCTTATAGGAGCACTTCAAACTGTCTTCTGTAGTCATTTGAAGGATCCCATCATTCTTTGAGCACTCTTTTGCTTCTTGGCAAACGTACATTCCAGGTTCATCTTGTACTTTCCTTATCCTATCCCAGAATTAGCTATTTTTCCCAGAGAACTCTGGTTTATTTAGTGAAGAATGGAAGCCACAAAACTGGGTGCTAAGTGTGTTCATTGTTACTTGGATGTTGCTTGTTTTCTAGCCCTCAGAGTGACAGGGCTAAGGGAATAAGCGTGCGTGCGTGTGTGTGTGTGTGTGTGTGAAGGAATATATATTCACATATCTCACATGTACACAAAGTTACAGCTAATATTTATTATGTCTATATATATTGGAAACCATGAGTTCATGTCAGTAACTAATTTAGCCAACCTCACAGCGTTCATTTGAGTTTTCTCCCTTTTCTTCCATTTGTGTAACTTATTTTCTCAACAGTGAGAAACATGGCTGTCATTCTTTTTTTTTCCTTGAGATGGAATTTCACTTTTGTTGCCCAGGCTGCAGTGTAGTGGCACGACTTCGGCTCACTGCAACCTCCGCCTCCTGGGTTCAAGCGATTCTCCTGCCTCAGCCTCCTGAGTAGCTGGGATTACAGGCATGCACCACCACACCCAGCTAATTTTGTATTTTTAGTAGAGATGGGGTTTCTGCATATTGGTCAGACTGGTCTTGAACTCCTGACCTCAGGTGATCCACCCACCTTGGCCTCCCAAAGTGCTGGGATTACAGGTGTGAGCCACCATGCCTGGCCCTATTATTCTTACTATACTTAAACAGTGCATCAGTCTCCTGTATGTAAGCCATCTCCATCACCGCCCCCATAGATGCCTTCTCCGCATAGACGCCCATTGCTCTCTGCTTGGGCTCTAACTCAGAATAGGGTTTTTGTTTGTTTGTTTGTTGTTTGTTTTTGAGATGGAGTCTCGCGCTGTCGCCCAGGCTGGAGTGCAGTGGTGTAATCTTGGCTCACTGCAACCTCTGCCTCCGGGTTCAAGCAATTCTCCTGCCTCAGCTTCCCGAGTAGCTGGTGGGACTACAGGTGTGTGCCACCACGCCCAGCTAATTTTTTGTATTTTTAGTAGAGTCGAGGTTTCACCGCGTTAGCCAGGATGGTCTGGATCTCCTGACCTCGTGATCCACCTGTCTCAGCCTCCCATAGTGCTGGGAATACACACGTAAGCCACTGCACCCAGCCAGGATTTTTTTAAAGCTCACCAAATGGTGCTAACGTGCAACCTAGATAGAGAACAGAATTAGAAGAAAGGTGAGACCCACACTATTTGATTTATTGTTAAGTAAATGGCAGGTTTTTAAGCCAGGTTTGACGAAGTAGATTCTTCCTAAGGAAGTGAAATTTAAAGAGAAGACTAAATCCTAACAAGACGCATGGTCAAAACAAAACAAAATAAAAACAAAAAACACGGTGAAAGTATAGCCTGTCACCTGGAAAACTTTGAAATATATCTGTTTTAGAAATGAATTTACTTCTGTTGTGCATGAATTTCAGTCTATTTCCCTGAATTGCCTGTTTATAGGGACAATATTTGAAAAGGTTAGTTTGTTTTTGAAGAACATGTTTGATTAAAACTTACCCCCTTTTTTTATGTTTTATTTTATTTATTTATCTATTCTTTATTATTGATTCATTTATTTATTTTGCTCTTGTTGCCCAGGCTGGAGTGCAATGGTGTGATCTTGGTTCACTGTAACCTCTGCCTCCCAGGTTCAAGCGATTCTCCTTTCTCAGCCTCCCGATTAGCTGGAATTACAAGTGCCCACCACCACACCCAGCTAATTTTTGTGTTTTTAGTAGAAATAGGGTTTCACCGTGTCCCCCAGGCCAGTCTCGAACTCCTGACCTCAGGTGATCCACCCACCTTGGCCTCCCAAAGTGCTGGGATTACAGGCGTGGGTCACTGCACCCAGCCAACATTGCATTTTTTAAAATAAACTTTTAATTTTAGAATAATTTTAGATTTAGAAAAAAATGACAACCTAATACTTTTTTTTTTTTTTTTTTTTTTTGTAAACACCAAATCTTTAAACAGGAAATATTCAGGCTGTGGTTGCTCCTTTTCTGTAGTTGGTTTCACTGTAAAATGTAGAAGCCAAGTTACAGCAGCTTGGGCGTGAGGAACCCTATCCACTCCTTCCACTTGCAGCCAGAGGAAGCAAAAGGCTTTTAGGGCCAAATATAACAGGACCCATGGCCAGCCTGCCTGAGATGGTCAACATCCATCTTACCGGTGTTTGTAAATCCATTTTCTTAAAGGAGGGCACTGCTGCTGCAGGTGGATTTTCTCCATGCGTTTCACACCTAGACAGAGGCACACAATCTGACTCCAAAGAAATCCCGCATGAGACCTAAGGAAATTTCAGTAAAATCTCCTCCTTGGTTGCGTGGATTTTGCATATTAGGCCTTTATATCTTTATACCCAGAAGTGCAGAAGGAGAAAGGCTAATATTTGAATGCGGACAAAGTCAGTGACAACATGTAGGTAAAATAATTTTTAAGCCTTTTTTTCTATAAATAAAACATTATTATGTATTCATGAGAGCCCACCTCAGTTTTCATCCATGGTTCCTTTTGTATAGTTTCAGTATGTTAAACTAGATCTCTGCTTCCCAAAGTTGAGTCCTTCAGGAACCATCTTTATGATTTTGCCATGTTTGCAAACCTGTTACTCCCTTAATCTTTAATTTGACTCACTTGTAATTCGGCCTTATTCTAGGTGATATCTGTGAAACCATGGATTTGTTAACTGTTGGGTGTTCTGAGGACCTGGGAACTAGATCTTAAAGTCTCCTCACAACAATGAAATTCCATAAGCATAGAGTCTGTCTGGGGTTTCCCACTGTGAGCTTTGAAGTTACTGCGGTTGGTTGAGTGTATGTTTTTTCCCAGTTGATACATAGAGTGAAAGTTGACAGCATTCCAATAAATGTTACTTTTCAAATGTGTGCTGTAAATTACAGTGTCTTAATTTCTTCAGATTCAGCATATTTCTCCAACTAGAATGTTTATGATTGTGTATCATTTTTATTCTAATTCAGAGGAGCAAAACCTGATTGTCTTAATTCATGTGTACAGGAAGATGTAGTAGTGAATTCACCCAATAGGGAATACGTTTATTTATTTTATTTTATTATTATTTTATTTTTGAGGCAGAGTCTGGCTCTGTTGACCGGGCTGGAGTGCAGTGGCACTATCTCAGCTCACTGCAGCCTCCACCTCCCAGGTTCCAGTGATTGTCCTGCCTCAGCCTCCCGAGTAGCTGGGACTACAGGAGTGTGCCACCACACCCAGCTAATTTTTGTATTTTTAGTAGAGACGGGATTTCACTATGTTGACCAGGCTGGTCTCAAACTCCTGACCTCAAGTGATCTGCCTGCCTTGGCCTCCCAGAGTGCTGGGATTACAGGCGTTAACCACCACGCCTGGCCTGGAATACATTGATTTATAGGACACTCAGTGCCTGCCTTAGAAAACACAAGTAGAAAACATATAAAACATACAGTATTAATAATAAATATAGAAAAAAAATTTGGAATACAGAGCATAGAGCTTTATGTTCACCACTCTGAAGATGTCATGGAAAAACATCTAATTTATGATAAATACGTATGTACCATAATTGAGTTAATATATTCTGCATTATCTGTGAGGAATACTGCCCAGAAGCCATCTGGATATTGTCATATTCAAATCAGGTCCTTTGCTGAGTGGAACTATATTAATCGTGTGTATGTTTGTGTGTGTATTCTTTTAGGTAAGATATTATAAAAGCTCACCTTAATAGGCTTCTTTGAAACCAAACTTAATGTCATGTTTTGCAAAAGGGGTGACAAACCAAGATGTGGGAATAATTAAATGTGAGTTTTATGCATCCTTTTGATTTAAATGAAATACTGTGTTCTACTTAGTCACAGAGATGAAATGTCGTCTTGCACACCATTTACAAGCATTTAATTTGTTACAGAAATGGGTTGTGAATATAGATGTATAACCTTCTGCTATGATGTTACTTTAACAGAGAGAAGGAGCAAGAAAGGGAAGAACAGTTAATGGAAGACAAGAAAAGGAAGAAAGAGGATAAAAAGAAAAAAGAAGCCACTCAGAAGGTGAGTTTAATCAGTTAAGTCTGTCTTTATATCCACTAGGCATCCGGCATCCAGAAGAAGAAACTGTCTTGGCTGGAATACCCAATATCTTTTTTTTTTTTTTCTCTGAGAGAGAGTCTCGCTCTGTTGCTCAGGCTGGAGTGCAGTGGCACCATCTTGGCTCACTGCAACCTCTGCCTCCCGGGTTTAAGCGATTCTCCTGTCTCAGCCTTCTGAGTAGCTGGGATTACAGGTGCCTGCCACCACGTCCAGCTAATGTCTGTATTTTTAGTAGAGACAGGGTTTCACCATGTTGGCCAGGCTGGTCTCGAACTCCTGTCCTCATAATCCGCCTGCCTCGGCCCCGCAAAGTGCTGGGATTACAGGCCACTGCGCCTGGCCTGAATACCTGATATCTCAGTAACGGTACTTGAGACATTAGTTTACTTAAAAGTTTTCATATTTGGAAGTGGGAGAAAGTTCAAGGTCTGTATTTGTTACCATAAAGTAGATGTTAAATAATGCTATGGCTGATTTTTTGAAAACAACAGTAAACAATATTAGAAAGGCAAGAGAGTTTTCAGACTCTCAATTCTTATTGTATTTCCTTATTTGTATATTAATTTAATCTACATTTTCTTAAGCATATAGAATAACTTTTAAAAACTGGCTAGAGGTTGCCCCGGTGTTCTTTTGGTCCCCCATGGTGCTGTGTCTACCTTCGGAGAATGACAAGTAGAAATCCCTCTCGGAAAGGATCTAGTGAGCCCACGTAGTGCTTTGGAGGATATGGCATTGTGTGGCTTTGAGGAATTGCTTAGAGAAAACCAGAGATGCTAAAAGAAGAAAGACAAAGGGCTGACGGCTGTCACCTGTCAGGTCTCAGGTGAGCGGTTTGTCCAGCAGAGTTGTCTAAGGCAGGGTGGTTAGAATGCGCCTGCCTTCCCTGTTTGCTTCAGAGCATGCCTCTCTACCCTGTCCGTTGTCCGATCTTACCTGTTTCCCCACCTTACCATTCTTTTTGCATCTCTTAACTTGGGCTGTGGCTCAGCAGGGGTTACTTTGGTGCCTTTTTGGAGGCAAGGTGATTTTCTGTCAGATATTGTCACTGCTATGTAAAGCATTTGCGAAGCAGGGCCTACTGTGGGACAGGTTTGAGGATCCCTGTGTTGGTGCTAGTTATCGAAGCTAAGTTTAGGGAGAAAGAAACTGTGACAAGGTTCAGAGGAAACTCTAGATTTAGAACAGAGTCAAGCCAATCAAACACAAGCCAGTATAACACTGCACGTTTTCCCAGCATTATTGGATATGGCGTTTCTCATAACTCAATTTTTTGAATTATTGAAATAATTCAAAAAATTATTTTGAGTATCAGCATAAGAAAAATTCTGAAAATAGTTTCTGAACTGGATTGCATATGTCCCTGCCATGGATCACTTGAGCCCAGGAGGTGGAGGTTGCAATGAGTAGAGATTGCACCACTCCACCCCAACCTGGGTGACAGAGTGAAATCTTGTGTCCAAAATAATAATAATAATAATAATAATAATGGAAGTCAGATAACAGCCCAGAGAAGTTTTTGTACTTCCCTTTGGGTCCACGGCCACATGCCCTGTCACTGAGGTTGCAGTATGCAGCTCCGCCAGCCGTGGGGTGTTCGTAGCATTGCCCCTGTGGTTTCTGGGCTCTTTTCCCTGTGCCTCGCACACATTGTGCCCTCCACCTCCAACTGGAGTGACGTGAGATTAAATCTCAGTGAAAGTTTCCTTTCCTTAGGACACTCACACATTTCGTCTACTAAGTTGTTACAAAAATCGGATTTTGCAGTCTCTGGAAATGAATGGTTAATAGATTGGGTATCAAGGAACTTGAGCAAAGGCTGTTAACAAGAGGATGCCAAACAGAGTGATTTAGAGAGTATATATTCCTTCTTCATTTTTAACATACATAACAGTGTTTTCTTAAACTACAAATATCAATGTCTAAAATGATTAATAAAATATGCCTCTGTAAACTTTCATTGGATTCCACAAAGAAAAATGATTTAAAATAAAGATGGTGTGACTGTAGTTGAGAGTGAATGAGATTATTTATGCAGAGAATGTAGTTTATGTAGCTGGATAATCTCTCCTGTGTGCTTTCATCTGCATTAAGAGCTGATTAAGAAGTGATGGCAAAGGGGAAAATCACCGTAAATAAAATTTCTAAGTGATTAATTTTATGAACAGTAAAAATTCTATCGTTTTTGCTCAAAAATGTTCCAGATCAGCTTGACACAGAATCTAGGCTGACGCAGGCTGGTGCATGGCCTTTGATCTTGTTTTATTATACTGAACCATTGCATAATTTCAGAATTAAATTCTGATTTAGCAGTTTTAAGGAGAGCACAAAGCTTACCATGTGATTATCTTCGTGGTTTCCAACCTTATTGTAGAGACAACGCCTCAGCTAGGAGCCATAAAATGTGCTATGATGCAAAGAATCGTGGAGAACGTGCCAGAGGTCTATCATGTGGTCAGTGGTTCGTTCATTCAGTCCGCAAACATTTGTGGTGCCTCTTCTAAGGGCTTCCACATCTTTCATGCTGCTTTCCCCAGCGCTTTATGACCACCTCTTTGTGTCCATCTTCACTGTTTGACTGACTGTAAGTTTCTTGGTTTTATTCGTATTTGTATTGCCAGTAACTAGGGCAGTGCCTGGTGCAGAATAATCACTCAGAAATTGTTTAATAAGTGAATGGTCAAGAATGAAGGTGGAAACATAATTTTCTTGAAGAATTGACACTTACTTAAAGCTAAAACGAAGTTACTTCCACACAGAAATTAAGCATGAGCCTTTTCCAGTGTTCATTGGTTGTAGCAGTTGGCTCTTCCTGGAGCCATCACTGAGTAAACTGTTAGATATCCATTCATGAGAGAGGTGTCAAAGAAGGATTCCATTCACATTCATTTAGGCTGATGCTGCTAATTGTTCAGTGTTGGCAGAACACATGCTTTGATTGTTCAGCTTTTTGCCGTCTGGGGGACAGCTCTTAACAGAACCCACATGATAAGACATATTTGACATTATTTGGGTCTGTTGCTTACAATGGGAAAGCACTGACTTCCTGTATATGACTGATCTTCAAAATGGCATTCTAAGAAATAGTTACAATGGTATAAAACCTAAATTGCCTTTGGGAATTGGTAAGTAGCTGCACATCATTCATTCTTGGATAAGTGGAGATATAGAAAAATCATACCAGAGTATTTTCAGTATAATTGAGCTCTGTAACAGTACTGGGAAACATTCATTTTTAAGACACTGGGTTCCACAAATTCACTGTAATAGAATTAGCTTGTCATTTAACACAGGAATGTAGGAGACACACCAGGATGTTCTATAGGTGGATCCTTCAACTCCTATTTAGAGTCTGATGATGTGTTGGGATCCATCACAAGGTGGGCTGGTCAGCTACAGGACCTTCCTTCCAAAGATGATTGTGTTTTTGTGAACCCCCATGGCCATAATCCAGTATGATTACCAGCCACAAATCATCAAACTTCTTCTTTGCTATATGAGTATTTTTATTACAAAAGTCAGATAACCAAATAAAAATGCTTTAAAAGATTAACAGTTGGGAAAATGAGTCAGAATCACCCATGATCTCAATAATTTAATGTAACCACTATTGCAATGATGACATAGTTCCTTTTGGATGTTTTGCTTATGCATCACCTTTTGTTTTATTGTTATAAATTAGATGCCCTCCTTTATTTTCCCCTCTTAAAAATATCAGAAGCAGTTTTCTATAAGGCTCCTAATCATCATTTCCAAACTCTCTGAAGTCCATTACTATGTTCAGCCTGTCCAACCTTCTAGAGGTTAATCATTTCTGTAGACGTATTAGTTACTATATAAAGAAATACTTTTTTTAAACAAAGCACCCTTGATTTGTCCAAAATTTACATATTTCAGTCTTCGTGCTATACTTCATGCTATTTTATATAAATGTTGATAATAACAGCAAACATTTATTGAGCACTCCATAGCGTATCTGATTTAATCCTTATAGCAGTCCTTTGCATGGATATACTATTATTATCTCTATTCAGCAGATAATAGAAAACTGGGGATCTCATAGCCAGAAAGTGACAAGGTTTGGTTTTGAATCCTGCTTTCCGACCATGATGTCTGGTGCCTCTGATGACGAGTCCCTGAAGTTTTGCTTTTTAGATTTGAGATCAAGTGTTTGTGTCTATACTCATAGGGGAATCTTTTTGTGTCTATGGCTAATTTAGTTTCTGGGCCACATTCATGTGATTTTTCTCTAGTCATAGCAATCAAAATGCAAGTAGCATTCTCAGTACAGGGACCTCATCCTATAATGAGTGGAATGCTTTTTAGTTTTACTATTCTTCCTAATGGTGGTCATGTAAATTATAGCTGGACATATGGCCATAGTCTTTGGAAGGATGTCTGAACTGACTCCCAGCTCCTTTTTCTGGATTTCAGCTATGCCTGTGTGCCTGACAGCTTGGATTACTTGAGTTATCAGACTAAAGTAGTCTGAAAATATAGTACTGAATTAAAAAGCAAATCTCATTTACTTTTATCTGTTTATTTTGCAGGTCACGGAACAAAAAACCAAAGGTAAGTTTTTTTTTCTCTTTAAATTATTTAGAACCTTTTGTGTTTAGCTTTTACACTGTTGCTGACTCAGCCTCCAGTCCACTGAAAAGAAAGTGGGCGTAGAGTAATTAAGGTGGGTTGTTTGCAGTCACTGAAGAGCAGTAATGACAAATTGAAAATACCTGTATTAGTGTTTCTAGTTGGCCTTAAATTTTTTAGGAGTCAAAAGAGTAAATACCTTGTTTTAAAAAGTTTATTGGTCATGGCTGGGCACGGTGGCTCACGCCTGTAATCCCAGCACTTTGGGAGTCTGGATTACCTGAGGTCAGGAGTTTGAGACCAACCTGGCCAATATGGCTGAGACCCCATGTCTACTAAAAATAAAAAATTAGCCAGACATGGTGGCTCATGCCTGTAATCGTAGCTCCTTGGGAGGCTGAGGCATGAGAATCGCTTGAACCCAGGAGGCAGAGGTTGCAGTGAGCCGAGATAATGCCACTGCACTCCAGCCTGGGCAACAAAGCGAGACTCTATCTCAAAAAAAAAAAAAAAAAAGGTGTATGGGTCATGATTTTGAATGGAACCTTTTCAAAACTTTTTTTAAGAATAAGAGCAAAAAACAAACACCAGCTTTTAATTTACAGATGCGAATTACAACGGTTTGTCAACCACCTTGACTGATAGCATGCATTGAGTCTGATAATGGAATATTGCACCTAGGATGTTTACTCTGCCTTCTAAGCTAAAACTTGGAATATGCTTTTTTAAAAGATAATATATTTTGAGTAGCTTAACTCTGTTAAAAAATGTTATAAACGGGAGCAGGTGCCCCTTGGGTCATTCTCAACCTAATAGTCTGTGTTGTTTTGGCTTCTTGCTCTGCTGTTAATTTTGATCATGTAGTTTTGTCTGGTGATGTTCACACTTTCTTTCATTTCCCCTTCAGAATGAGAGAGTTAATTCTTTGAGATAGCTCCTCTCCTTGCCCACTTAAATATGTGTTTCTCAATTAGGTATGCATAAGAATCATTTGCATAAAATCATCAAAATACACAGTCCCAGGCCATGGCCCTAGCAGATGTATTTTGAAAAGCTCTGCAGGTGACCCCAGTACACGTCCCTAGTTGAGAATCACTGCCTTAGATGAAGGGAATTAGATGTGACTATGATGACTTGGAGAAGGACAAGGGTGATGGAGAGGTCAAGGCTTGATGGGAGGCCCTGTAATGATTGGTTTCTTCATGGTTTTGTTTTGTTTTGTTGGACTACCAGACCAAAGCCTGTCACACAATGAGGAAAGAGTAATAAGACAGTGCTAATTTCTTAGGAAACTTAGTTATGGAAAATAAATTCTCATATAACTAGGCGTTACTATAATAAATTTCTAACCAAAAGACATTTCAAAGGAGAATGTAGTCTGGGAGTTTGTAGTGAAGTGTAAAAGACACCATGGTTATTAGTTATAATTAATTGGTTACAGAGAATAGTATCTGCCCTTGTACATTTCCTCAGTTTCAGCCCAGAAGTAGGCTTTATTTTGGAAGGATCTTTGTAAATTACTTGCTTGAAATATAAATGATACTTTGCCATAGAAATAGTGTTATTCATGCTGGTACAGTGTCCATGCTTTCTAAACCAACATACTTTCTAGAAAAGGATTTGGGCACTTAAGTATTTGTATTTGTAGGGCTTTTTGATGATTTATGGGGACAACAGATGAGAAAATTGGCATTTTTTTTCCTGGACAGTCTAGATTCTGGTTGCTGGAATGTGGTGGTTGGGTTCCTAGGCTGGCCACAAGACTGATGCTTGCAAAGCCAAGTGTTAGTTGTGCTACAGAACTGAGCTGCTCTGTGTGATAAGTGGTGCTGGGAAACAGAAAATCTGTTAGGCGTCTTTTCTTATAGAAAAAAAATTGGGAGGGATACCAGACCTGTTCTCAAACACATTCTTCTTTCCTCTACCAGTCTTAAAAATCAAGCTTTCCTTTCTACTCACTACCCAAAATTTTTTTTTTCCACTTGGGCGCTTTCTCATACCTACTATGTCGTGGAATACAGTTTCACAGTCAACCTACTCTCCCTACCTCCCATCCCTCCAATCGAAAGATAACATTAAATAATCCTAAAGGGAGATGAGAGGCCATTTCAATCTCCTAAGGGATTTAATTGTTATATAGCAAGTAAAAATACCAGTTGTCCCTGGGGTATGTTAAGAATGTAAACAGAGGGAGGGCCTGACCTTTCTAGTGTTGGGTCTAGGTTTACAGCCACATCTTCATCTTTATTCCCAGTAGCCCACCTTGGTACTCTAAGTCTCCTCCTTCTTCTCTTACCTCAGCTAAAATGTCTGGGGGACATATTCCTCTTCCCAAAGATAGTGTCTTTCTCAGGCAATCTCCCCTTCACTCTGAATCTATCCATCTTTCCCCAACAGTTGCTAGAAGCACAAAGAAAAGACCGTTGGTACCAAGTCCCTGGTTGTATAGAGGACCGAAGTGAGATTTTTCTGTATTTCAGAGTAGTAGTGCATTCATTATATATTCTTCCTGTATTCTCCACCATTTAAAAAAAATTGTGAGAATTCTGCAGAGGAATAGGATAGAGATTTCAAGTGGAGGTTATGTGAAGACATAGGCTAGAGCTGGCTTGCTACCCAGGTATCAAATAATAGAAAGCACTTAAGGTAGAAACTAATATCCTCCTTCGTTGGATTTTAGAGTAGAACTGAAAGAGTTTGAAGAATTGATGTAATCATTCAGATTTAACAGGGATGAAGTTTAGGATTAAAAAGCCCAATTGCATAGACTGTGTAATAGAGAAGGTTGGACATATAAATTTAGCCTTGTTAAAAAGATGTTAGGGGCCAGGCACCGTGATACAGGCCTGTAATCCCAGCTACTCGAGAGGCAGAGATAGGAGGATTGCTTGAGCCCAGGAGTTCAAGGCTGCAGTGAGCCATAATTGTGCCACTGTACTCCAGCCCGGGCAATGGAACGAGATCCTGTCTCAATTGAAAACAACAAAAAAAAAGATGTTAGAGTGATGGCTGGCTTTAATGGGAGTGTATCAGCATAAGATGACCTTAAACTGCATTAGTAGGCCGAGCGCGGTGGCTCACGCCTGTAATGCCAACACTTTGGGAGGCCAAGGCAGGTGGATCATAAGGTCAGGAGATGGAGACCTTCCTGGCTAACACAGTGAAACCCCATCTCTACTAAAAATACAAAAAATTAGCCAGGCGTGGTGGCGGGCGCCTGTAGTCCCAACTACTCAGGAGGCTAAGGCAGGAGAATCGCTTGAACCCAGGAGGTTGAGGTTGCAGTGAGCCAAGATCATGTCATTGCACTCCAGTTGGGGCAACAGAGCAAGACTGTCTCAAAAGAAAAACAAAAAACAACAAAAAAACCCCTGCATTAATAGACATACACTATCCAGGAAGGGATTTACACTTCCTGCACCACACTATGAAAAGGAACAGAGAGCAACCTCCATGGACCATGTGGAGTTCAAGCCAGATTGGGCAAGGAATTTGTCAACTCAGAAAAGTTTAAACACCTGGGCTCGTTGAGCTCCCAGAGCAAGGCTTCCTGCTTGGGGAACCTCAGGTAACTGTCTTCAAAACTTTGAAGGACTCTAGTGCCTGACACTTAACAGTTCCTTGGTAGTTATCTGTTAGATATTTTGTTCAGTGAAGCTTATTCTTCAAATAGCACCAATGGTGAGTCAAAGCCAACAGCGAAAAGCTTCTAGCTCAGTAGAAGTTAAATTTTTTAGGTGTTGTCCTTTACCACTGGGACACAGCTGAGAGCAGCACCTTCTCCATCAGCATACCTGGGGGTTATGGGCCATCGCAGGACATTAGCTACCACTCTTTGTTTTGAGCCTATTTCAGAAGACATAGTACAGTGAGTACAGGATAACCTTGAGTCTACTCATTTATTACTATTGGAGGGGTCCCCTCCATTAAATAATTTATAAACTACTTACAATACCCCTTACACCTTGTAGAAACACCTGTGTGTTCTAACACAGTGGTGGGAAGCCACTTGTTCAGAGATGAAACTGGCTGCCTCTGAGAGAGTGAATGAATGGTGAGGTATTACAAGACATGTGGCTCCGATAAATTAGCACGAAAATAGTCCAAACAGGAGGTAATGAGGACTTGAACCTGATTAGGAGCAGTGATGGTAAAGGGGAAGGAAGGAATTGAGAGAGGCTTTAGTTTAACTTACTGTTGATTGGATAATGATAATGTGGGTGGGGGGCATTGAGAAGTCTAAGATACGAAGCAGGTTTCTGACTTGAGCAGCTGGTTGGGTGATAAGTTCATTCTTTGAGGGTGAAGAAATGGGATTGGGGCTAGGAAACAAATTTGAGAGGAAGGGAAAGATGGTAAGTGGTAGTTAAAGCCTGAGCATGGAAGAATTTGTACACAAGGAACTGAAATGTGGAAAGGGTGCAGGCCCTATCGTCACATTGATTTTGTTTTGTTTTGTTTTTAAGCCACTACTTATGGCCAAGTTCCTTTGCTATTCGCCAGTCAAAAGCCAGCATTGCTTTTATGACTGTGGACAAAATTGGCCTCGCTGCCTATTTTTGCACTGCCCATGAGCTAAGAATATTTTCTATGTTTTTTTAATTATTGGAGAAAAAATGGGGACAGTATTTCATGACATGTGAAAATGACAGGAAATTCATATTTCACTGTCGGTAAATAAAGTTTTATGGGAGCACAGCCACACTCATTTGTTTACACATTGTCTATGGTGCTTTGGCCCCACAAGTGCAGAGTTGAGTTGTTGTGATGAAGGCCATATGGCCAGTAAACCCTAAAGTATTTACTATCTGGCCCTTTACAGAAAGTTTGCTGATCCCCCCGATCAAGAGTAGGAGAAGCCCACACAGAAAGAGGAAGGGAAAAGCTGAAGAGCTAGCTGGAGCATGTCTCACAGAAACAGGAGGGAGGGAATGACGAGTGGTATCAGAAGCTGCAGAAAAATCAAAGAAGAAAAGGTCTAA